TTTATCAATGTATAATATATATTATATACCTATGTATAAAAATGTTTATATGTAAGCCCCCCCCCCCCCCCATTGAAAATAGCTGTGTACGCCACTGGTAGGTTAGCCGGTATAGGTATTTTGTCAATATTGGAACTTTAAATGACTCGTTTCCATGTTTTTCAACGGGTCGTACTTCAGTTCCCAGGTAAATCAGAACCCAATCAACTTTACTTACGCTTACCACGGTTAATAGATATCGCTTCCATCATCCATACTATCATTAATTATATAATCAATGGTACTGTAGCGAGCTGTGACTATCAGTTCCTTAGATCATATACCATGGATGGAGCCATGCCCATATCGGCCGTGTAAACAATTTGAAGCACTGATTTAAATAATAAACATTACTATCTTATGTTATGTTTTGTTTCTTATTTTTATTTATTATAATATTCTTACATTAGGTGCATAATTTATTGATAACATTGAATATTAAATATTACTCTATTTATTATGTAAAAAAAAAATATTGTCTATTGGTTTTTTGAATAAAATCAATTTTGTATAATTCCTTCTAACATTTCTTCCTGTTATTGAAAGTGTATGCATTTTTCCAAAATGATGTAGTCTTAATGTAATGTAATAATCAATAATTAGCCGTAATAATTGACTACGGTGATTGTCAAGTAGATCTTGATTTAATAGGTGATCTTTCATAGAAGGAGAATTAAAGATTGTGAAATCTTGGCTTACTTCAATCATGCTTTTTACTATTGATATTTGTTTTATATATTTTTTTTTTTAAATATCATCTGATTTTATTCTTATAATATATTCAGTTGCTAAACAAACTTTGTGAACATCTGATGACACGTTTATCAATTTTCCTCGAGTTTTTAATTTGAGAAGTATTGAAGTATCTTAGTTTTGTTCTTCCACTAAACAAGAATCACACACATCACATAAATATTTTTTCCTTTGAATTTTTCGAACAATGAAACCACTAGTGTATTTTACAACATCTATTATGTAGTCTTCCAAACTAGGCATTCGATAATCATAATCATGATCAAAATTATTAAATAATATTTCATTTTCGTCTTTATTATTTAATGTATCATTGCTACAAATAGTATTGGCATCTCTTCTTTTATTAGCTCCAACAAATAAAATACAAGATGTATCTAGCTGGGTACAATTTCCATATATTGATCCACTGATGTCATGTCTCACAAGTAATCTCTTATATGCTGATCTGAATTGTACAGCGTTTGGGTTGTTGTTAAAACCGCCTCTACTTCTAACAGCACTAAAAAATATCTCCACGTGATCTTGGCTCAATATGTAGCTAAGTAAAAATGACATTCCATCCTTTTCTACAGCTCTAAAAACATTTATTAAATTTATAAGACAAATTATTAAACCCAAAAAACCTGTCTTTCTTTGACTTTTAAGTAATAACTCTCCATCAGGTGTGTTTAAGTTTTTTTCGTACCGCAAACCTTCAACATAACTTCTAAACTGATCAAGTGAGTCTATTACTCGAGGTAAATTCTTTTCATTGACTGGAAAAGAATAGTCTCTTTTTGCTAATTTATTCCTGCAGTTACAGACATCAAAAACATCATTGAACAATTTACAAAAGTCAGCAGTCGGTTTAGCGTTAGGAATCAAATTTAATCGTTCACAAAATAATAAACTGGAACTGACACTTGCACTTAATGTTTGAACCGCTAATCTTATACTCATCTTATTTTCAAAATAATTTATATGATTTTTTTTTAGTTTGTTAGCTGCATGTAATCCTTTAGTTTCTTGTATATTTTGTAACGTTTCTATATGATGGCATTTAATTTGTTCGCCAACAGGGTTAATTATTACCTTTTTTTCACCTAGAGTGTTTCTGACTAATTTTAACATGTGGAGAGCATCCCAAAATATATAAATAATCTTTTCATTTTTAGAACCAGGAAATTCTGGAACTGATATTCATGGCTTGAATTCAGATGAAAAGTAATCAAAATTGGCACCTAATGTTTTTGTTCCGTATAGTTTTGGTTAACGCAATAGTATTATCGACGGTCATAGTATTACAATTAAAAATAATATTATGATAACAGAGACCAGTCCGCCGAAAGAAGGCTTGTGTACCTTATCGCGTAAAAGGCCACCGAGAGACAAGTCAGTGGTGATTCGCACAGTATAAAATGACTATCTCCGTTCGCGCCGTTATACGCAAAATTGGGAACGAGATGTCAGTATTATTATAATACTATAATAAATTATACGTTAAGTAATAAGTTACGTATATTTTGTATCACAGTCATTGTACGCGAATTCGTATTATTATAATTATTATACGTTATTCATTATTTACTAGATACGATATATTTTCATTTGCGTTCTTACAAACTACAATTATATTAATGGTTACCTCATACCGGAAAAATCACGTAACCAATATCCAACCTAAATATACGAAGGATCGGTAGGTAACAGTTTTGCACATGGAAATATTACATGGTGCCCCATCGAATGTAATAGAATAGCATTTTGCTCCAGTTTCAAAAAATATCTCAAGGCATTTTTTTAATAAATTAGCTCTTTCACTACCTGAAAAACTGTTGATTAGGAAGTAGCCCAATGGAACTTTCCAATGGCCATTTATACAAACTGCAAGGAAAACAAGTGCATTTGTAGCCTCTTGTACATTATCAACTTGTTCTTGAGTAGTTCCTAAATCAACACCGCCATAAAATGTTCCATTAAGAAATGATATTTGTTTTCTTATTGATATTTCGTCAATCACTATGTTACATATAACTGGATCAACAGATTCTCTAACCCGTAAAGTTATACTTTGAAATGCTTCTTTAGTAAAGCCGGGCTCACCGTCTACAACGGAATACCACTTCTTTAAAGTACTAGGGTGAGGCAAAAGATTCTTGAATGTTTTCCTAACAAATAAATATGCTTTGGATGAATAACATTGTAAAGTTAGTGCGAAGCTACGAAGCGCTGGCGAATACTTGGTGTTACGTTGTAATGTGATTACGTAATATCATGTATTTGCTCATAAAAACAAATAGGAATGCGACCACACCCAAAAGTGTTTACGATTAGAATACCACTTTTAGTCGTGAGGTCCATATCAAGGACGACTTTACACGCGCCGCTCACTTCAAAGGACGCCGCCACCATATATATAGATATATACATATATATTAATTTCATTAATACATCCTATAACGCAGTAATTATATGATAATTATTTAAATAACAAATAGATAATATGTAGGTACCCATAATTTTACATAGTATATTTCATTATTTTTATATTAGGTGTAGAAATCTATTTAATAAAATGACAATTTTATTTAAATTTGTAAAAATAATAATCTCTAGGTACCTATAGGCTATATATAAGGTACCTATGATATTTTATTGTTTTAACAAATTTTACATTGTATTTTATTGTTTTTTTTTCTCTCATAATATAATATGTACAATTGGGTTTTATTGTCAGTTGCAGGGCCGTCCCGAAGGAGGGTTTTAGGGGGTGTCCCACCCCCCCTGAGCGTATAATATGTATATTGTATATGTCAGTTGGCACATTGATACCTACATTAAGTATTTGAGTTGGGCAGTTGGCACTCGGCAAATTATAATTTTTTTTTACAGTTTTTTAATAATTTTGTATATACTACTAAGTCCAAATATATCATAATAATATATTATAATTTATAATAATATGAAGGTATTATAAGTTAATTTTCCGATTGCCAACTGTCCAACACAGTTAATACTATTATAATATTTTAGACTTTACCTATCAATAATGTATCATATATAATATTATAACAGTATACAAAATTGCCTATACATATTCGAATAATCACAGAATATATGAAATTTCATAATATATTATATTCTGTCGTATAATCATTGAATTATTTTTAATAAAGCTGTAATGATAACTGATAAGGAATTGTGCGCTGATTTTAAAAACCATCATCGTAAAAGATTAGCTCCTAAACGATATGATTGTAATGCCACAACCCAAGCTGAATTCACAATGCATCTATTTTATAGAAAAGAATTTAAAATGGTTCTAGATACCCTATTAAAACTAACAAATGATAATTTAAAATCGTGTATTTCTTCTATTCAACCATTATTTACTCAACCATTTAATAAAAGCGATATTTCATTTCTTTGTTCCCACCAAGCAGTGTAGGTGCTTACCTTCTAGATTATAATTTAGTTCAAACAGAATTAGAAATATTATTTAGTATGTTACAAGAAGATAGTACATTACCATTTAATTCTTTAATGGAAAAAGCAGAAGAAGTAAAGCATATTTTACCATGTGCTAATCAAATTTGTCGTTTAGCATTGACTTCTCTTGTAACAGTCGCATCAAACGAAAGATCTTTTAGTAAACTAAAATTGATTAAAACAATGGTCAACAATTTCTGATGAGAGATTAAACTCTTTAATTGTATTGGGACTTTGGGAGTAGAAAAAGATATTGTTGACCTATTGGATATAAATAAAATAGCACATCAATGGTCAATTTTAAAAACCGACGTATATAAATTTAGTGTTAAGTTTATTATAATATTTTTTTGTTGATATAATAAAAGAACATAGTAAGAACATAATAAAATATTTAATATTGTGTAACATTTGTCTACTGACTACTATATGCATGTAGTCTGCAGGTAGGAGGTAATTGTCGAGCGAAGCGATAAATTTTTTTTTTTGAGTTGGCAAATTATGAATCAAACGGATTGTTATAATATTAAATGGATGGTTGTAGGTATTGGAACGGTTTGTAGAGATTGTAAATAACAAACGACAACGAACACGTTAAGTAGGTAATTACGACGTATATTGCACAGGTAATATAAGTTAATATAATTATAATATGCGTGCGGCGTTGACAACGGTCCGACGAGAGATCCCACCCGTCGCCACCGCCGCTGTGTTATAAAGTTTTAACTTATCAAGCCATGGAACTTCCTCGGACTTATATTAGAATAGATGTATCTCATATGGTATACATCTTTTGTCGAACTAAGTGTTTAATAGGGCATAAAAGAAGAACACTAAAAGAATTTTATGTCTGTTGTCTAAGACTTTTACTTACTTCAAAAGATTTAAATACATTCGCCAAATTACTCGATGCTATTTTTACAGTAACTTTAAGTGAAACAGACGGAGATTATAAAGAAACAAAAACACCCTCAGAATTGAGTAGACAATATTTATTAGATTGTATGAAAGGTCTGAGTAAAGACGACCAGTTTGAAGAAAATGATCCTGCAGTTACAACAGACATAAATGAAGATAATATAATAGACGAGGAAGCATCCACAGCTTGTATAAATGAATTTATTACTGATATTTTAAATGGTAGTACCATAAAAGCCGCAGTAACTGGAGATAGAATATCAGCATACTATTTGCCTGAATTAGTTCCACATGTCATTAGATGGTGTCAAGATTTTCCATTATGGACTTCAGTCATGCTTCATAAATATAATTCACCATATGATATCGCTACATCGGCTACTGTAGAAGGAGATTTTAATACATTAAAAAATCAAATACTTCGTTTTGAACAAAAACCAATGTCCATAGATAGATTTGTGGTTCGTCATTTAAAAAGTATAGATGGATCAACCAAAATAATGCGAAGCTCTCAGATAAAGAATAAATGCCAACTAAATGATAAAAAAAGTTCTGATGAAGATTCAGTATGTCTTTTCAAATCGAATGTATCTACACCCACATTTCTGGGTAAAAGTTTTGATGAACTCAAAGAAGAAAAAACAATTACGGGATATGAACAAAACCAAGAAAGTGTAGCTTATGATTATAGTTCTGACGAAGATTCAGTATCTCTTTTCAAAACGAATGTATGTAAAACCATATTTCTGAGTAAAAGTTTTGATGAACTCAAAGAAGGAAAAACAAGTACGGGATATGAACAAAACCAAGAAAGTTTTGTTTATGATAAAAGTTCTGATGAAGAATGTTTGATCATTAAAAAATCAAAAAAAAATCAAAACATATTTTTGGATATAAGTTCTCCCGAAAAATCTCCAGAACATAATAAAAATGTCGAGTCATTACAAACAGTAACTGGTAAAAAAATCGATACAAGTATTCTTGAACAAGAAACTTGGAGAGGACTTGGAGGTAATCCTAATTTTGAATTGGATACAAATCTCAGTTTAATTGCTGAGAAACCAAAAAATCGACCAGGACACATGTACCTGAAATTGATAGGATATTAAACAACCGTAAGCTCCGTTCAAATATGAACACCGTATGAGGAATGGAAATTCATGCACACCAATAAAACTGTCAAAAAAGAGGTTTATTATACGAAACACATGCCCATTTGATTCAGTAGCAATAATAATTGTAATGGCATACTATGATAACCATAATTATAAATATTACTTAGATAATTGTGAAAATATTTTTATAAGGTTCTGCAAAGATTTAGCTTTCCAGGGGCCAACGAAAACTATTTACAAAGAGAGGGCAGCGATATTAAAAGATATTTTTGACGATGCAACTGGTATTTCAGGTGTTAATATAATTGATACAACTTGTAACGTTGCTTACATCATCAACAAACTCTTAAAAGATGCACCATCGGCCACAGAAACTTTAAGTTGTACAAATGAGAATTGTACAAATAATAAGAGTTATTCCAATCCAACAATTATTACAAAGATTAATGGTGGATTTTCAGCAATGGAATCAACGATTATAGAATACTTACACCCACGATCTTTTGACTGTACAGCACTTCACTGTAATGGATATATAATAGCCCAACGAACATTGCATAACCATATATTTATTGAAACTGAAGTATTTGCAAACGGACAAAAATATTCTTTGATGAACTTCCCAACCAAACTGAATATAAAAGAATCTAGGTAATATCATATTATTATCATAAATTAAAATTTATTTCTAACTAATTTTAAGTTGCTATTATATATTCTAAATTGTTCAATAATGTTGTAGATATCAATTAAATGGAATAATTGGATACGGAAGTGATCATTATATGGCATACGTCAAGAGATCAAATGACGGCTGGGAACAACACAACGACCTGGCAAAAAAAATATTAAAAATAACTAACCCCAAAAAGATAACCATTGAACCACATATAGATGTACAGCAAAGAAAATTAATACTGATATACCTATATCGATATTTGTATATTATATTACCTTTATTAAGTAATCTACAATATTATTTTAATAACAGTTTTTAAGTGAAGAAAATGTTTTTTTTTTAAATTTTTATTAATTTTTAATATATTTAACTTTGTTTTTAAATGTATTAAATTAGAAGAAATTATAATGAACTCAATTTAGCAGTTGATGAAATCACTTCCTAAAAATAAAATCTTATTGATCAATAATTATTTTACTAAAAACATATAATTTATAATTGTATGATAAATAATAGGTACTGATACTGATGATAAAAATCCAATTTGTAATTATTTGCAATTATTATTTTTTAATAATAATTTTTTATTATTAATTATTCACAAATAAAATTGTATTGATATTTATTATATATTTTAAAAAAAAAATGAAAAAAATTGAATTTGAAATTGTCCGTAAATAGCTCAAACGGCAAACGTCGAATTGGTTCCCGGGTCAATTAAAGTGTACGAATTGGTTCCCGACAAAAAAATACTTTCCCGTATACAACTGTTCGAATTGGTTCCCGAATAAAATTACTTATCAGTTTATCAGTATATACAAACTCACTGTTACAAGATACGTATAATATATACAATCGATAATCTTATAATATTTTTTTAGGTTTCACGATGTGTGGGAAAGTTTATAAATATACTTTTATAATTTTATATAAAAACTAGCTGATCCCGTACACTTCGTTTCCCGTTAAATGTACCAACTCTATATGACTCAAACATTGTTCAATGCGTTATTTAATATTCGGTGTATGATGTTCTAGATTTATGTTAACTTTTCTTTTGCCCGGAATAAAAATTCTGTTTCGCAGCAGTATATTATCAGGTAGGCAATCTACCTGTGGTAGATCGCGGACGCCGTGCTGTTTGTACGTAAGTGTATGATTCAACTCAAAAAGTACCAAAGTTATACCAAGGTTGACGTTTTTACTTAATTCCACATACCTATAAATCCTAACCTGACCTAACCGTACTAAATTCCGATGAATAAAAAAAACCAAATTTAACCCTTTTTAAATTAGCGTATCTTCTTCCCATAGGTCTAATCTACACACCATCATTCATTTATATATATATATATTGACAAAAAATAATAATACAAATCAACAAACATGCCTGATTAACCAATAGCAACCAATATAATATAATACACCATAGAGTAAATAAAGACAACGGTATCGAGTTCAAATCCCAGACATCAATAAATAGTTATTGCAGTTTTTCTAATTATTCAGTCGAATAAATTAAAAATTTTCCTTCGTAAAAACCTTCACCTATTAATTACGAACATCTTAAAAAAAAATTGAGACAAATCGGACCAGCTGTTCTCTAATATTTTTTTTTTCGATTTTTATCGATATTTTTTTTTTATTTCAAGCCCTGCTATTATTGATATTTGTATTATTATTTATATTATATTTATATTTATATTTTTATCTGCTAGAGGGCGCCACCGGTGTAACTCAGTTTTTGTCTAAAAATCTCTAATTCACATGAGTTAGGTCCATAATTTATGCTATAAACCCGCTCACCGACATTCTCTATCATTTAAAAAAAATTTGAGCAAAATCGGCCCAGCCGTTCTCAACTGATGCTATTTCGAATTTTTTGTCTCCATTTTTATATATAAAGAAGAAGATTGAAAGAGGGCCAAATTTCGAACCTACAGTTCGTTAAAAATGTGTGTTGTAAATTCATACCACACTAATTTTTTTCTAATATTATTTACCTATTATGACTTATTATTATTATTAGATTCTGAGTGAAACGATGAATGTGTTGATTTTACAATGATGTGTGTTTTTTTTTTGACATTTTATTGGATATTTATAAAAATCAATTTAAATTATTTGCAATTAATTTGCAAAATATTGACATATTTCACGAAACGATCGGACGAAGTCGGAAGGCTGACGAAAAAACTTGTAAAATTCGCCAAAAAAAAAATATTGATTTGCAAATTCTAAAAATCAATTTGCGATTATTTGCAATTAATTTGCAAAATATTGACATATTTCCCGAAGCGATCGGACGAAGTCGGGGGGCTGACGAAAAAACATGGAAAATTCGCCAAAAAAAAAATATTGATTTGCAAATTCTAAAAATCAATTTGCAATTATTTGCAATTAATTTGCAAAATATTGACATATTTCACGAATCGATCCGAAAAAGTTGGGGGGCCAACTTCACACACATGCATATTTATTGATTATTGAAGTTTATTATTGAGGGCATGTTTTATTGAAGTTATTATTGATTATTATTGAAGTTTATTGATTTATTGAGGGCATATTTATTATTGAAGTATTATTGAAGTTTATTGAATTTATTAAAGGCATATTATTGAAGTTATTATTGTATTTATAGGGCATTGTTGATTATTATTATTATGAGTATTAACGTATTAAATAGGTAGCTAAGTAATTTATGGACAAAGAAGGTACATCTCCCTTGAAAGTAATTAATTCATTGTATGACACTAGTGTAGTAGAAGAAGCCCAGTTATTAGCCCAGAGAGAAGCCCAAGCCCAGTTTGAAGCCCAACAGAAAGCCCAGTTGAATATTATAGTAGATACCCAGTTAGGAGATAGCGCAAGTAGAAACCCAAGTCCAGGAGTAATCACACGTAGCCAAGTTACAGATAGTTTTGAACATCAGTCATTAGTATTTTTACCTATAACACGCACTAAAAAAATGGCAGTAACCATAAAATTAGAAGACGCTTTTAAATTAATTCCACCATGCACAGGAATAGACGATATCTATCAATTCATAAATGCATGCGATATGGCAGTAAGTTTAGTCGACACAAACAGTGCACCAACGCTAGTAAAATATATTATAGGTTAAATTATAGGAATAATTTTACGCAACCACCTACGAATTATAATACACAGGTAGTTACGTGTTCATACTGTATTACTAGTGTAATAGAAGAAGCCCAGTTAGAAGCCCAGTTATTAGCCCAGAGAGAAGCCCAAGCCCAGTTTGAAGCCCAACAGAAAGCCCAGTTGAATATTATAGTAGATACCCAGTTAGGAGATAGCGCAAGTAGAAACTCAAGTCCAGGAGTAATCACACGTAGCCAAGTTACAGATAGTTTTGAACATCAGTCATTAGTATTTTTACCTATAACACGCACTAAAAAAATGGCAGTAACCATAAGATTAGAAGACGCTTTTAAATTAATTCCACTATGCACAGGGATAGACGATATCTATCAATTCATAAATGCATGCGATATGGCAGTAAGTTTAGTCGACACAAATAGTGCACCAACACTAGTAAAATATATTACCACACGTTTAACGGGTAGAGCATTAGAAATGATTAAATACAAAAATGTATCGAAATGGCAGTTTATAAAAATTTATTTAACAGACGCATTCGAAGTGACAACCAATGCATCGTCGTTGCAACTTCAATTAAATTCGATTAGAATGAATCACAATGAGGATGTAAACGATTATTGTCATAGAGTAGAGAAATTATATTATCAGTTATGTACCGTAAGCACATTAGGCAAAGAAGCTGCAGAAGCAAAAATTATATATGATATATTAAGGGAACAAACTCTAGCGATATGTATTAAAGGATTAGTAGAACCGATTAGAACAATAGTAAAATCTCGTAACCCCAAAACCCTGGAGATCGCGAAACAACTTGCTATGTCGGAACAGGTGGAACTAAGATTAGAACAGGAAAATAGGAACCATTATTCGAATATTCATTCACAAAATTATAACCAGCGCAGATCGAATTACGAAAATAGGAACAACGAAAACATTAGACCAAATAACCCTGTAAGGACAAATAATTATCCGCGTGCAAAAAATTTTTCTCAACCAATCAATAGGCCAGCAATAAAATGCTATAATTGTAATGGTAATCATTATGCATCTCAATGTAGGAATAATACGAGACCTAGTTATGCGAGCAATGCAGGGGCGCCATTTGGGGTATCGCAGGGTATACATTGGCGGCCCTATTTTTCACCGTGTCATATTGGCCTGCCTTAGTTTCATGCTGGCGCCGATGCCCGATGTATCAGTTAAATTGAAAATATAAGATAAATCATAAATATAAGAATATATAAGATAAAAATATTGTATGAATAATGCGATATACAAAGATATACCACAGACTATATTTTTCATATAGTCTGTGAATAGTGAATGTATAAGCGTTTTCCATCTGACTGCTGCACTATAAGTGCACACTACACGCGAACACTGATACCATAATCACAGTATCGCATCATTTTACACACCGCCAAAATTCACGGTGTCGACCAGACTGGTCAGATGGAAAACGCTAATAGATAGTGTATTTATCAGTGTTATCACTTAAAATATTAACGTTAATCATAGATAATAGAAGAATGGATAGGCCATAATAGATAATATTATTATTATACTAACCTGACTACTGAGTCTTTTTTCTTAATTTATTCTTAAATTTATTTATTCTATTGGAATTCTCCTTATTATGAGCCACATTAATTCTAATATGGGAAGTAAACGAAAGGGCGGTGCTGCTCGTTTAAGAGACAAGAAAAACAAATTATTGCTCGAAAGCGCCTCTACTTGTTATAATTTAAATTATATGTTTTCTAAAAAACCCAAAATGCAGTTACCTACAGTTGAAGTGAGTAAAATATGAATTCGAAATACTTAATTTTATATTGTACAATTGGATGACA